GGGGGGGGGGGGGGGGGGGGGGGGGGGGGGGTTCACCCCCCCCTCCCCCCAAAAAAACAAAAAATAAAAAAAAATAATGCAACAGTCGGCAAAAGTCGGCAAATTTATGTCTGTACGAATCGGCAAATCGGCATACATGTGAACTGGGAAAATGGAAAAAGATTAAAAACTATGAAAACATTTAAAGCATGACTGACATACATGTATCTGTACTAAAATGAAATAATCTCCCCTACCTCGCCTGTCTACTCATTTTCTCGGCAAACGTGCAATCAACAGCGAAAACAGCAAGCTATTGTAATCTTATCTCTTATGTGAGTGAAATTTGAAACCCGTGTTTTCAAGCAACTACAAAGCATGCTGTCTGTTTCGATTGCTTTCATCAATAAACATGAGCAGCTCAAAACCGAAAAGAAAGAGAATAAAACTCGAGTGTCTGGAGTGTCATTCGGTTTTTGATGATGATTACCGCCAAAGACATGAACAGACTTGCCACCAAGGAACGCGAGTGCGAGTAGCGCATAAAGACGCACCAGCTAATCCATTCCAAGCAGCCGTTGCGAATGCGAATAAATCAAAGTCGATTCAATCTGGCGAAAAGGTACAAAGCAGTAAGGAAAACGCCGAGAACCAGGAATACATCAGGGATGCATTTTGCGGAAAAGAAGGGGTTCAGCTTATTCTTTAGTGCTTCGCAGGTATCGCAACTTTAATAACAGCTGTTGCGTCGGCCACTTACTAATTGGTGTGTGCCACGGAGGTGTAAATCCAAGATCGTCTTTCGGTACTCGAAACACACGTGTTATAGCGTGCTATATTTAGGAACGTTTACTCAAGTTTTTTACGTTTTAGCAGCAATCTTACTCGCTAAATTTAGAGAATCTTTTATTATATAGCATTTTGTATTCGTATTTCGTTGTAATCTCTGCCTGAGTAAAAAAGCCATTATATAATGACAATAATGTTGAGTCGTAATGTTGCACTTGCCACAGCGTTTTGTTAAGCGAGCGTAAAAAATATGTTCCCTATTCTTGCTTTCCAAAACGAAATTGATGGATACTTCACGTTTCTAGTGGGTACACAGGGTGCGAAGGGATGGATCGATAACGCGGGTAGTTCTGGGCGCGGACTAACGATGTGTGATGTGTCCACTACTCGATGAGTGAGCAGAAAGTTTGGTCACCTTCGACTAGTGAGCAGGAAGTTCAGACACTTCAAGCAAACACAAATTGGCTATGAATTCATTATCTACTAAAACTTTTTCGTAGGTTATGCCCAATTCCATCCAAAAAAAGTGACATAAGGGACCGGTCATTATTTACACCCGGGGTTGGGGCCGAAGAGAAACTATTATTATTCAAAAATTTTTTTTTACCCAACCAACTTAAGCTCAGAAAATTAAAATACCCAACCATCTCTTGGTTAAATTTTTTTTTTACCCAACCCTAGGAAAAAATATTGTTTATTAAATGTGTTTAATACTAACTTACGACAATGGGCCATTCCATTTAATATAGGCACCCCCCCTATTGAGGGGTCCCTTCATAATCCCCTTAGGATATAAAAAATTTAGAACCCCCTTGGATGCAATTTTTGGAAGTTACCCCATGGATTTCTTTATACCCCTTTAGGATATCGTTTTTACGCCCTTGGATATCACTAAAACACCTAATTCTTGCTATTTTTTTGAAAATTTCTTAATCTAACCTCTAGGAAATTTTAAGGTAAAAACACCCTCCCCTCCCATAGGATATCCAGACCCCTCAATAGGGGGCTATATTAAATGGAATGGCCCAATACTGCATATTGACAAACCCATAATTTGTTTACTGTATTGGTCATTGTAAATCCGAGAAAGCCCAATTTCCAGCATATTGTCATGAACCGGATCACGAGTTTGTTCCTGTTCACCTTCAGATTCATCTCTAATCTCAAACTCCTAAACCCAAACTCTTCCAAAACAAGATCCTACTCGCTTTCTCCATCACTGCCATTGCTCCTCAGGTCTATGTGTAGCTGCTCCAAAGCGTGTTCAGTAGACCTGGCAATGCTGGCATGACTCTTCCATAATACATCTGCTGTGATTGCACTCTATTTATCCTTTTTCTTGCCTTTTTTTGCTCAAGTTGTGTTTATTAATATATGTACTTTACTACTTGTCCAATTCTTGAAAGATGGTCATAATATCGACGACACCCGAAGTTTATCCGACCGGATTCCGAACATGAATCGATAAAAACAACATGGCTGAAGAAAACGAATTTGAAAGCTTTCTGAAGTCGTGATTTTTTTCTGTGTTGGTGTAATTATAGTGAAGTCGGTTATTAATCTGGCTGAGGGATATTTGGAAAGATTTAAGGATACTGGTTTCAACGATATTGAGCTTATTAAATCACTAGAATCGGGGGAACAGAGGCAGATGTTTGACCTGATCGACCTGATGGGTTTTATCGGGCATCTGCTGAAGTTTAAAAAGGCTCTGGCTACATATTCTCGCAATCCTGACAATCCAGCAACACAAGGAATTGAAAATAGTGTTCAAAACCCTGTAGCTCAGAAGAAGGTTCAAAGAAGTATGATTATTACTCATTGTTGTGTTCTGTGCGTTCCCAAGTCTAAAATGGCTAGTATGTATCCAAAATCCAATGTGTTACTTGCAACTTTAGCCTCAGGGATCTGAATCATTTTCATATATATCTTTCCAGTAAAGAACTACATCAGTATATGTGAATGCAACTATCACCAAGATTTATTTCAGCTAGAGGATGTGTGCAAGAGCCAAAGAGCATTAGACCACATTAAAACCACTATCAACAAAATTAATAAGGACAAAGGTAAACTATTATTAAATCGCAAGAAAGAACTGTATGGGGACAACCTAGAGCCCAAGAAGTGGGCAAGCAATGAAATTGCTTTTGTTCAAGCTATGACAGCCCAGACAGGTGAAATGCTGAAGGAATCGGAGAAAATTGCTAAATAATGATATTGAACACATAAACAATCAGTTAAGGAAAAGGTTGAATGCTGCCTCTGTCGACAACTATGAGAAAAAGAGAAAAATGAAGAGAAGCCAAAGAATAAAAATCAAAGGCAAAAAAAGAAAAGGAGCATTGTGGCTGCCAGATGTGAAGTAGACCTCGAAAGTGACATGTCAAGTGATGATATGCCAATTGACATTTTAGATGATTAAACTGTTTTTATTGTTTTTATAGGGTCTATAAAAATTAGTCTACTTTTATATTAAATAAATAAATAAATGCTGCCAATTTTATTTTTACCCAACCTTTAAGAGCTATAAAATTTTTTTTACCCAACCCATTATGTCTTAGAATTTTCAGTTACCCAACCATTTTCTCTTCGGCCCCAACCCCGGGTGTAAATAATGACCGGTCCCTAACTGATGTACAAACGTCCCATACAAGCCAAGAGCCAAAGTCACCAATCTCGGTTAGCTCTACAGGAACACTAGATTTAGACACCAATGAGAAAATTAACAATTTTTCCCAATCTGAAGTGGTACCATGTGACTGTTTTGGTCACCTTGTCGAAGAAGAACTCCGTACCACATCCTTAAATCAGGAATATTTCAATTCTGAAAATGAAAATTCAAATTCCGACACTGAAGATTCAGTTACCGAAACTATTAAAGATTCAGTCTCCGAGTCTCAGAAATCAAATTGGATCGAATCTATTGCAAGTCTGTCTTGCATCAGCAGTTTAATGTTTGGTTGTCAAGAAATGGTAAATGATGCAAGAACATCAGACATTGCTAATGTTGAACAATGGATTGTAGATGCACAGGACACTATCAAACAGATACAAGAAAGCTGCGTTAGATTTCTGAAAAACACTGACAGCTTACTTCATCAAATCCAAACGAAGAAACCCAAAGTTAACGACGCAAGCTCTTCTCAGGTGTCTGTAGAGCATGATCCAGGCTTACGCGGTGAGGTCCGCGGAGAAAACCAAAAGGAGTACCTGATTGAACATGGGCCTTTTCAGCCGAAGTTGTCTTGTTTCCCAGCCAATCAAGATATACCTCAGGGGAAACAGAATCGTTTTTCGCCACGATGGTATAACGAGTACCCACACTTAGAATACAGTATCAAGAAAGATGCTGTGTTTTGTTTCGTATGCTCGCTATTCCACGACGCGCCCTCAAAAGAGAAGGCAGACCCAAGCTGGATAAGTACGGGAGTAAGAAAATGGCACAAGATGAAGAGTGTTGGAAAGAACAAACAAGGAAAACTGGCTCAACACTTCTCGTCGCAAAGTCACAAGGCTTCTCTAGCAGCATACTGTCACTATTTAAAGAAGACGAAACATGTGGACATCCAACTGGATAAAGCTAAAAGGGCCGCACAAATCCAGGAAGCCGAAGACCTTGAATGCAACCGTAAAGTAATCCACATCCTTTTGGACATCGCAAGAACACTTGCCCGGCAAGCTCTTCCATTCAGGGGTGACAGTAATGAAGAAGGCAACTTTTACCAGTTGGTCCTATTGGTTAGTAGACATGTCCCAAGTCTTCGTCGGTGGATAACTGACAAAAGGATGAATCCCTACCACGCCACTTATTTGAGTCCTCAGTCGCAGAACGAGTTCATCGCTTTGCTCGAAGCAGAACTGAGAGAAAAAGTTGTGGAAGAAGTAAAGAGTGCAGGGATGTTTTCTGTGATGGCAGACACAACTCCTGACGAAGAGCACACGGACAGACTTTCTGTTGTTCTTAGGTACGTCAACGACGCGGGAAAGCCAACCGAAAGGCTGCTTGATGTAAGAGAGACTGTTGATAAGACAGGTCTTGGTCAAGCGAAAGACATCCTATCTACGATAAAGCAGTGTGGGGTGGATACCGACGACCTATGCTTTCAATCATACGACTTTGCAGCCGCCATGTCTGGTGAGTTCAATGGTGCTCAGCAGAAACTGTCCGAAATTGTTGGTCGTGATATCCCATACATACCATGCCAAGCACATCGCTGTAACACTGTGATCGAGCATAGTTGCAACGCGAGTGTCATCGTCCGTGAAATGTTTGACATACTCCAAGCACTTTTTGTTTTCTTCACATCGAGTACAAAACGTTTTCAACCATTGAAAGAGGAAATAACCAAGGTTGAAAACTGTTTAATGCTTAGAAACTTGTCCAAAACGCGATGTGCCAGAGCCGAGAGTATCCAAGCCGTCTGGACATCATTTGATGTAATCGTGGATGTACTACAGCAGATCACCAATAAAGCAAATCAACAAACCCAAACGCAAGCAATGGGCTTAAGGAAAAGAATGCTTTCGCTTGATCTTGTTATTGCGCTAATGTTCATGAAGAACATTGCATATAAAACAAAACGTTTGGTGGTTCAGCTTCAAACAGTTGAACTCAACATTCTGGATGCGACTAGCCTTGTGGGGGCTACCTTGAGTATCATGGAGAAACCACTGTTGAAGCCACTGTTGAAGTGCCTTAAACCACCAATCGATGGAACGTGCATTCATTCTGCTGTCTCGCTATTCCCACCATCACAGACGCCTAATCCATTGGCGCTTGAAGCCGAACTACAAGTGTTAGCCGAATTATTGCCTAGAGATGTTGGTGATGAACTCAGCGAAGCCAACAAGTCGACACTTCCACTGGCAAACTTGGCAGTCCGGTTGATGCTTACAGCTCCTGTAACAGTGGCGTCAAATGAACGCTCATTTAGCAACTTGAAATTTGTTAAGAACCAACTGCGAACATCCATGGGGGACTCAAGGCTGGCTGGCCTCATGCTCTTAACCTGTGAGAAAGATTTGACTGATACTCTGGATATTGAAGGAGTAGCAAGAAAGTGGAGTCTGTTAAAAAAGAGACGAGTCGTCTTATACTGAACAAATATCTTTAATTTACCAATGAATAGATCGCGAACGTTTCATCTCCCATTATTGGTATTAAAGTAAATATCGACTAACGCTATTATGCTTATAAATCCGCTTACAGTCGTGCATGCATAGAAATATTCTAAGTTTGTAATTGTAACGATATATCCATAGTACTTAATATTTTATATTTACAATGAATTGATGTTTTTAGTAAGAAATTGCTACGAATTCAAAGACACTAAAAGTTAACAAATTTAATAAAGATCATTTACATTTTCGAGAAAAAACTCGGCATATTGCGTAATTGTTACTCGGCAATTCGACGTTCATCACCCCAATGGACATCCCCTCGCCACGGCCCTGGTCGTCATGCAGTCGTTATAACGCAAACTTTAAATTGGACCAATCACGTACATACATACATACATATACATACATACATACATACTAATTACTGTTTTACATGATTGCCGTGCAAGAGTCCATATACTCAGTATACTATTGGAAATTAGTCAATTCGACTTTGAATGAATTGAGAGAAGGGGCTGATCTGATCTGTTCTGACAAGCTGTTCCACAGGGAAGCACCACTGTAGCTGAAAGAACGTTTTAAATAGTCTGTTCGAGGTTTTGGAACAGACAATTTATTTAGAGAATTTCTCAGATCATAATTGCTCACTTTGGGTGTAAATAACTGCCGCAAGTATTGAGGAGCACAATTATTATTAACTTTGTACATTAGGATAGCTTTTTGCTTCATGCGATTTTTTGCCAAAACACTCCATCCCAACTCAGAAAGTAGGGATGCTGACGAAACCTCATACGAGGACCTGGTCATTCCCCTAGCGGCACGATTTTGCAGCTTTTGTAGTTTCTCACCCAGTTTTAAACCAATACCATCCCGGACTGGAGAGCAATAAGTAAAATAGGGCTCGACCAGGTCCCTGTATGCCTTCACAGCCGTTTCTCTATTGATGAAAGGTCTTACGCGCTTAAGAGCACTAATACCGGACGAAATTGTTTTGGTAATATTATTGATATGGTTTTTCCAAGTTAAGTGCTCGTCGATTGTTAAACCTAACGACTTTGTAGATTGAACTTTTTTGATCTTTTCGTTGTCTACAAAGACATTTAAATCGTTGGTTTCACTGAAGGTTGCAAGTCTCTGACGGGAGCCAATGACCATAAGTTCGGTTTTTGCAATATTAAGACTTAATTTATTGGATTGTAGCCATGTATTTAGATTGATCAATTACGCACCAGTCATTAGACGATTCGATTCGAGCCGTTACAGTGCTGTAAGTAGGTCGAAATCCCGATTGTTGATGCGAGAATAGATCATTCACTGACAAGTACTCGTAAAATTGATCATATACGATTTTTTCGAAAACTTTTGCAACACTTGAGATTATGGAAATTGGACGATAATTA